TAGAAATATACCTCCCCACTCGATGTTGGCTGCGGGTCTCGTCCCCTCACCAGGGTCCGCGAGCGTCTATTTCTAGTAACAACTTCCAGCTATGACTGGAGCGCGAAAATCATGGACCAAGTACGTTGTATCTATTTACAGACTTTGGAGCTCGACAACAGTCTCAGAGACCACTTGGCGAGGTTATGCTTCTTAGCTACCCCGACCCGACATTTTATCGACATCAGTGTCGCGTAACACTCTTTAGCAGCCTCGATGTGCATTATCGCAGCAACAGTTACATTGCATTGCACCGATCGACTCGCACTCCTCTCAAGAAAGGAGTATCAAGTCAGCTCAAGCTACATAAGCAATGTTCGGCTCATCGCACAACCCCACGGCTTTCGTAGGCGAGGTTTGGTCGTTCTCTCTATTCTTTGATGCATTGGTGTTTTGTCTAGTCCGATCCGATTGTTAGCAATCCAATCACACCGGACTAGGGGGACTTGATGACACATGGTTTATATGACTGAGTCCGGTCCAATGCCATTGGTTGCGTACAAATAACATCGGACTGGGGGGACTTGATGATATAGGGTCCATTAGCATGGCCTAGATAGTTTTGGCACGCTAGCCTCTCCTGGTGCTCCCGTGCCAGCCTTGTTGAGGACTCTCCTGTTGGCTTGGCCTGACGCTCCCTCGCTAGCCCTGTTGGAGACTCTCCTGCTGGCATGGCTTGGCACCCCTTTTCCAACCCGATGACACATGGTTTACATGACTGAGTCCAATCCAATGTCATTGGCCGCAAACCAATAACATCGGACTGGGGGGACTTGATGATATATGGTCCATTAGCATGGTCTAGACAGCTCTAGCGTGCCAGCCCCGCCTGACGCTCCCTTTCCAGCCTTGTTGAGGACTCTCCTGCTGGCCCGGCTGGGGACTCCCTTGCTAGCCTTGTTGGGGATTCAACTGTTGGCTCAGTCTGACGTTCCCTTGCCATCCTTTCTTAGTGCGCTCCCGCCAGCCTTACCTGGTGCATGCCTGCCATCCTTGTTGGGTGCGCACCAGCCAGCCTTACCTGGTGCGCGTCTGCCAGCCTCACCCGACGCCTCCAGGCGACCTCGCCCAACTCCTTGCTAGTTGGGCTTGAATCGGGTTGGCCCAAGGCCTGACCTAATTCCTTTTGACCTAATTTTACCCTATAAATAGAATAGTGCCTCTTCCTTAGAGGGGGACTCTTCCCGAAGGGGCTCAGCCACCACTAGATCCTTCCCCGACAGCTCAGCCGCCGCCTTAGACTCCGGCGGGGTGGCTCAGCCGCCACCCTCCGCCATCAGCCACCATACACCACCAACACCAAGATGGTTCCCTCTAGCTAAAGAGAACCATCTCAGATCTACCAACTGATCTAACTTGATCGTCGGAGTCCACTCCCGGGGCACAGTCCCTAGGACGGCTCTAATGGCCTTGTCTGTTGTGACCTCGCAGATTCGTCTCCGAAGTCGCATCAATGATGGTCTTTATGGTTTTATTAATGATTTACAAACGGAATTTTTGGACCATATTTTTGGCTATAACATCATGTCATATAGATTATTATCGCCAGACATATCAGGAGTACGTAAACCTTATTCCTGCCCTTTGTAGATAGGTGAAATTTGATGGTCTAGTGATTGTTAAAGTGCCTATAATGGACAAACATCAACATGAAAGGCTAACACGGATTGACTATATTTCATCGCAAGGGGAGGGCCCAATTATCAAATATTGTATTTGATCGATAAAAAAGGTCATACCATAAACAATTTCCATCTTTTACCCCAAGAATCATCCATATACATTGAAAAATCAAGTAAGAAATATACATTGAGTATGAAAGTAACGGGTCACAAAGCCAAAGTGTTTATCTAACTGTAGACTTGAACAATTTGTAATAGGATTAACATTGTTATTTCATTATGTTTTAAATTACCTGCATTTGCCAAAACTTAAAACTTGTGTCGGTAGATAAACATTGAACGTTGTTATTTCATTATGTTTTAAATTACCCGCATTTACCAAAACTTAACACTTGTGTCGGTAGATAAACATAAACACATTTTGTATTCCAAAAAAAAAAAGTTACATTACATTTATATATTAAAATGCATTAAATAACATTGTTAAATAGAAGGCAAACTAATACTAATTTACTAAATAATAGGGAAAATTACAATAAAATCCTTACGTATGAGCCCTTATATTTTTTTTATTCAATTAAGTCCAAATACCGGTAATCGTATTTAATTTAATCGTTTGACCCGGTCAATAGGTCATACAACTTTCAAAAATTACATTTTCGACCTAGATTTCAAAATTTATTACAAATTTGGTCCAAATTTTACATTTTTGGCCCAGATTTTATTTTTTTTTACAAATTTGGTCCAAAATTTACACTTTTTGCCCAAATTTTAGAATTTTATTATGAATTCATCCTAACTTTAGTCTTTTTTACAACTTTTTTTCTCAAAAGTTTGTTTCTAATATGTTTTTTTCTAAAACTCATATTTATACCAAAAAAAAAAACATATTTTCACATACAAATCTTCTTTATTCTATATAAAAACTTTTTTGTATATGAAATATCTAATTATAAAAATAGGTTTGGATTATTTGTGTGATTTCTCTTTAAAAAAATCAATTAAGAAATTAAAAGTAACTTTAAATTATACTATTAAATTATAGTTTGTCAAAAACTAGTTACACTAGTTACCCTAAATTAAAAGTAACCCTATATTATACTATTAATATAGATATTTTAATATGTGTTCTATTTAGTGTGTATTCTTTTTTCTATGAGATTTTAATATAGTTGTTTATATGTATTTTTCAATCTGTTGCATCTTCATAAATTAAATCATACCTTCGATCACACACACACACACATATATATATATATATATATATATATATATATATATATATATATATATATATATATATATATATATATATATATGACAAAAGGTATGTAAAGTTGTTCTAATCTCATATATGACAATCCATATTGATTTCAGTAGGAGTTGTAACTATCAACATTTGTAATACTTTTTTACATTTGTTAAATGTCATTTCTGCCAAAAACCTCCTTATCAACAAATGACAATTCTTCCATTCTAGATAGTTATTTTTTGTTATTACAACAAACAAAATTGACACATGAATCCGATTTTACAAAGAAGTTTAAATAAAGAAATCCAAAGTGATGATGAACTATATGTATGGACATATATTCAGCGAGAAACAAAAAATATGAAGTTTTCAATATGTAGCATCTTCTATTATTTATACTTTTCCTATAAATGTGATTAAAGAACAAATAAATAATATTAAAATGAGTACTAGTGTAACTAGTTTTTGACAAACTATAATTTAATAGTATAATTTAGGGTTACTTTTAATTTCTTAATTGATTTATTAAGAGAAATAACATAAATAATCCAAACCTATTTTTATAATTAGATATTTCATATACAAAAAAGTTTTTATATAGAAAAAATAAGATTTTTATGTGAAAATATGTTTTTTTTTTGTATAAATATGAGTTTTAAAGAAAAAACATATTAGAAACAAACTTTTGAGAAAAAAAGTTGTAAAGAAAACTAAAGTTAGGATGAATTCATAATAAAAATCCTAAAATTTAGGCATAAAGAGTAAATTTTGGACCAAATTTGTAAAAAAAAAATTAAAATCTGGACCAAAAGTGTAAATTTTGGACAAAATTTGTAATAAATTTTGAAATCTGGGCCGAAAATGTAATTTTTAAAAATTGGATGACATGTTGACCGGGTCAAAGAGTTAAATTGAATACGATTACCGATATTTGGGATTTAATTGAATAAAAAAAATATATAATGGTTAAATCGATTATAAGGCCAATATATACAGATTTTATTGTAGTTTTCCCTAAATAATAGTACTCATAATCCTTGCTTCTTTTTATTTGTTTCTCAATTTTCCTTTATTTTAGATTTTGTTTCTCAATTTTCCTTTATTTTAGATTTTGTATAACTCATCACCCCCTTGCTAACCAAACATAGTAAAAGTAAGTGGCAGTTTTCTTTAGCTATTATAGCCTCTTTAATCTCATCATAAGCTCTCCATGTTCTATGTTTTTCGTTACGGGTAGAATTCTAGAACGTTTGAACTTGGGTATGGTCCGTAGAAAGTCATTTGGCGAAAAAGAGGATAAATACATTTTTAGCATGAAAATACTTTTATAAATATTTAAATGATAAACGATAGAATCCGATATTTGAAACGAATTGAAAATACTCATAAACATATAAATAATAACCTTATAATCTGACATTTGCGAAAATATATATCCTCATTTATTTAATTATATTTTTACTGAAAATATTCATAAACATTTAAATAATAACCTTAGAATCTGATATTTGAAACCCACTTTGACTATTATATTAATAGTTAGCATTCGAAAAAAACTAAAATACAAGGTTGTAAGAGAAATTAACAACTAAAAATCTAATGTCATTTACATTTTTGTTTATAAATACGAAATTGATTTAAATTGGGATAAAAACAATTAGTTAAAGAGAGATAAATCAACCATATGGAGAATACAATCGAGTGAAAGTAATCGAAATGTATTTCGGATTGACATGTTTTTGCATATAATCGAAGAAATATAAGGAATATGTATATCATATCATATTTTTAGTTGATCGTTTCTCCTAAAAGATCTACAATTTGGTTTTATTTTAAACGTAAAATTTAATATAAAGGTTTTTCTGAAGATAAAATTAATATAAGGGTTTTTCTGCGTATACATAATTGGTTGGGTTTTTATGTATTTTTCCCTTTTTTTTATAAAACAAATATAAATAAATAAGACAAAAAATAATGCATCTCATACCTTCATATTATTGGTGTGTGTGTGGGTGGGTGGTGGGTGGGTTATTTTCGTAGAAAACATTTGAAAAAATACCATACTCAATAAAGAAAATTATAATGTCCTTTGGATGATTTTGGCAACGCCTGTAGTAATAAGATTAGGCTGATTAGCTGTTTTGTTTTTTTTTTTTTTTTTTTTTTCAAAAATTAATCCATAAAACAAAACAAAACAAAAATTCAAAAATAACATAGCATAGTCGTAAACGAGTAGAATGACTTGAATGAATCCGAGATGTTACTCAAACTGGTAATGTTTGTCCACGGTTTCTGAAACATCCCAAGTGCAGTTCATACCCTTGGGGAACTCCACCAAGTCACCGGCGCCGATCTCCACCGCCTCATCGGAGCCTTCGGGGTAAACCTTCACCTTCCCTTTCAGAAGGTAGCATGTCTCTTTCGACGAGTACGTCCATGGAAATTTGCTCGGAGGGCATCCCCACCTATTCCAAACACTTCACATCAGTTTTCCATAACAACACCAAAAGTTAACGAAGAAAAACCTATAAAACGTACAAGTATCCAAATTTTGTTCAAGTTCCTAGTTCAGAGTTTCTTAGATTGATTCCCTCAAGTCAAAAGTAACTCAAAATCCAACAAATACATATGCATTTGTCGATAACCTAATTCAAATAAATAAATAGAACCATGACTAGAGTGAAAGAAAAGAGGAATTACTTGGGCCAAGATCTAACACCGAGATCAGCGAGCTTTGATTCCGGCGGGTTCTTGACGATCTTAATTCCTAATTTCTCAGTGGCCATTGTTTCTGAAGAAGCTCTTACGAATCCTGCTCGATTGCGATAATAAACCCTAGAAGTGAGCTTTGTGGTCGTTTTGCTGGATGAAAAAGAGGGTAAGGAGTGATTGGTTACGGGTTTAGGATTGTGATAATTGGGAACAGGAACTAATTTCAGTACTTGATTGGGCACATAGTAATGGAGGCCTGCCATGTTCTTTGGAAACAAACAATCAACATAGTTCAATTAGATTTTTGAACATCTATATGTGTCGTTTGCTCATTGTAGCCACTAAAACGTTATCTTATATGTGTAAAAGAACAATTAGATACAAAAGTCAGGAATTTCTTTATCTAAAGACTTAATAATTTAAATGGGTAATGAATTTTGATTTTTGTTTCTATTTAGTTTTTGTATACACGTTTGGTGAATAGACTTGTAATAATATCATTGTAGGTTTACATGTCAAAATGAATTACATGACATTAATTTAATTTATATTACGCGGCTTTAACAGATATTAGGTAGAATGGTAATGACCTACAAGAATAATAGATTTTGGTTTTTGTTCATTTTTAGATAATCATGTTTTTATACATATTTGATTAGTAAACCTATTAGATCTATTCAAAATAGAGAAATATTACCGGTAATTGTAGATCAAGTTTATTTGACATCTTACATGGCTTTAACAGATATTATGTAGAATGGTAATGACCTACAAGAATAACGAATTTTGGTTTTTGTCCATTTTTAGATAATCATGTTTTTATACATATTTGACTAGTAAACCTATTAGATCTATTCAAAATAAAGAAATATTACCGGTAATTGTAGGTCAAGTTTATTTGACATCTTACATGATTTTTTACTTTCTCTACTCATCACTTATTATCCCCACCATTATACGTATCGAATTTTAACTTTTTTTTTTTTGAATCGGCAAATAAAAATATATAATCTACTGCTAAACTAACATTTACTCAATGATTTCTTCATTCTTCTCTCACTCACGAGTTAGGCATAGATTCAATCCTGCTCTTGTGGCCTTCCGCCTCAAATCCGCACATCAAGGATAGAAATATATAACCTAGGGAAAAAGATAATGATATGCATGGTTGGTCGCTTTTTTATTTTCACTTTGGCTTATTGACTCTCTATTTCGATACTTAAAGTCCTAATATGTGTGCAATTTTCTTATTAATTTGGATTTGTTTATTGACTTTTGATTTTGACTCCGGTTTATTATCCTATTTTGAACAAATCAAAGAGGGTTTTCATTACACTTTTATAAGTTTTTTTTGTGTAATTTCAAACTTTTTGCACACCACTACTTCTTGATCGCAAACACATGAAAAAAAATTCATTTTCTTAAGTTCCAAAAATATACCCACGATCGTTAAAGTATTCCCTCGTTAAGATCCAAAAAAAAACTACATCATCAGTTTAACGTAACGATTCACTTTCATCTCAAACTAATCAAACACAATCGACAAGCTTTCACTACATAAATACTTCAACATCAACCTATGATTATGAAAAAATATTACCCTATTTTGAACATGTCATATAAGTTTACTAGTCAAACGTATAAGAAAAATAAATGATTACTTAAATTTGGACAAAAAACAAAGTCCGCTACCTTTTTAGGTCATTAAACATTTCATATAATATCTCTTTAATGCCACATAATATAAAGGGTCATTGATATAAAATTCCTTAAGCTTTTCAAGTTTTGTCAATTTTGTCATTGTGATAATTTTTGGTGCAGTGATGTCTACTATTTGGGAAGATTTATTCGGTTTTTCCCTTCATCTATTTTTGACCTTCTACAACAGGTCACCACCCTTTCGCCGGTTACCATCTACCTCCCTATACATATTCCCTTATCTCTCTCATGAAACTCATGCTACCTGAAAGATGTATATGCTCAAGAATCATCATAGAATGATATATGTTAATAAAACATGATCTTATAAGTTCATACCTTATAGGAAGTAGACACTTACTGTAATGACATGGATTTTCTATACATCTAATCTAAGGGAATTATTAAAGTTTTATCTACAATGCAAAATTGTACTATAATTAAAACACTTTACTTCCTAGGTTAAATCATAGGTTTACGATAAATCTTAAATACAAATTGGAACAACAAGGAATTACATAAATAACAACCTACTCTCTACGTCTTATGTGTGTTCATGTCTTTTCTTCTAATACCACGGTTGCTGGTACCTAAACCTGCAAAACATAATTAATATCAAACACAATGTTTCTGGTGAGTTATTCTTCTATCTTTTCTTATCTCTCTCTTTCTTCTCTTTCACATACTCTATCATCTAACTCTTTCTCTAATAGCATACACTGCTATTATTTCTCCTTATACTATAGCTTCTACTCTTATTCTATAATCTTCTCTTTTCATCTCATACTCTTTCTTAGCCTCTTCTTAGGCTCATCTCATGCTTTGAACATACTTTATCTCTATCTCTACTTCGATCTCTTATCTGCTCTATCTCTTCTCTACTTTGTCTTTTCTCTACTCTCGCTATACTCTATGCATGCTCTTACCAATTCTCTTACTCTATTCTTCTCTTATCTCTTACTCTTTGCATGCATGTCTCATACTCTAATGCCTCGACATTGTATTCTCTTTTAGACCTAACAATCTTGTAACATCCTGAAATAGCAAGAGTTGAGTTGAAGGACTAAAGGTGTAATTTGGGAAAGAGTGACTAGGCAAGTCCATGGATGGAATCGGCGAGTAGAGTCGCGACTTGGTCGCGTGTTAAATAGCCGACTTTGTAACATCCCGAAATAGCAAGAGTTGAGTTGAAGGACTAAAGGTGTAATTTGGGAAAGAGTGACTCGGCGAGTCCATGGATGGACTCGGCGAGTAGAGTCGCGACTTGGTCGCGTGTTAAATAGCCGACTCGGCGAGTCAATGGGATGGACTCGGCGAGTAGGCGCTGAGTGGAGAAAACCCTAATTCTCGGGGTTGAGCCCTATATAAAGAGCATTATGTTTCCTCCCCAGCCTCTTTATCACCCCTTTGAGTTCTTGAAACCCTAAAATCGTGGAGAAGCACTATTGTTGAGTGGATTGGAGCTTGGAGAAGTAATTATTGGAGAAGGTTTGGAAGTTTGAAGGTGTGGAGCAAGGGGTTTTGCTTGGATTCGAGTTTCCTTGCAGTTTAGGGCACTCTTTGAAGGTAAAATCTCGTTCTTGAGCTGCTATTGTCATGTCTCTTCATTTTGGGGTTTGGGGGGAAACTTATCTTGGGTTATTTTGGAGTCTAAAGGTTAGATCTGAGGTTGCTACCTCAGATCTGGAATGGAGGAGGGTTAGAATGCAGGAAAGTCCCTGCGTTGAGTGTTGGATGAAGCTATCTTGTCCCAAACCTTAGCCCTAATGTGCAAAATGCATAGATCTCTTTGGATTCACGTAAAGATTGCCACTTTACGTGATGGATGAGTTGTAGGAGGCTAGATCTATGTTTTGGATCAATTGCATGGTTTGGAACGCTTCTGTTTGGATTCAGACCGGTGGTACTCGGCGAGTCACATAGGTGGACTCGACGAGTTGCTTGAAGATGGCCTGGAACTCGATGAGTTTGAAGAACAACTCGGCGAGTAGGTTGAAGATAGCCTTGGACTCGACAAGTCCATTTGGACTCGGCGAGTCTTGTCGAAGAGTCCCAATATTTTCTGGTCGAGTCGAAGAATCGGCGAGTCAAGGGATGATTCGGTGAGTTATGTGCGAATGGACTCAGAGTTGTTGGACTCAGGGAGTCTCGGGGTGACTCGGCGAGTTAGGTCGCGGATTGAGTGAAGTTTTGAGTTGGGAACTCGGCAGTCATAGGGTTGACTCGGCGAGTAGGGTCAGTCAGGGGTTGACTTTGACCCAGTCTTTGACCAAGGGTTGACCAGTGGTTTCCAGGGGTATTTTGGTAATTGTTGGTTATGGTTTTGAGTTCAGTGCATTGGTGGCTGTCCAGTGGTGGAGATCGTATCAGGGATCGGAGCAGTTCGGGTTATCTGTTCAGTCGGCAGTTTCAAGGTGAGTTATCCTCACTATATCTATAGGGTTTAAGGCACCAAGGCCGACCCTTTTATCGATGGAAATCCGGGTAATTGTCTGTTGTATGATATTACGGGATATGGGCCGGAAGGCATTACATGTTGCGGGCCGGAAGGCAATGCGATGTGGACCGGAAGGTCATGGCCTGGAAAGGCGTATGTGCATAATTATTATGTTGGCTGAGTGTAGGGTGATGTTATGCTAGTGATCGGCTAGGCTGGTATCTTGGTTAGGGTAATGATATGTTATGTGATCTGTTGATCGATTTGCTAACTGTGAACTGCTATATGATTACATGTTATGTGTATGGTCGTCTGGTCTGGAGTGTAACCCGGTATGCACGGTTGTTTTATGTTCTGTCATGATATGTATGATTTTTATGTTGCGGGCCGGAAGGCGATATGTTATGGGCCGGAAGGCAATGTGTTATGGGCCGGAAGGCATTACGCTATGGGCCGGAAGGCGACATGTTTTGGATCGGAAGGTTGTGGCCTGGAAGGGTGTATATGTGGTTGGTATTTTGGGGGTATCTCACTAAGCTTTCGGGCTTACAATTGTGGTTTTTATGTTTCAGGTTCTCAGGAGTCTGTGGCAAGGCAAAGAAGTTATCGTACCGTTCCTCGCGTTGGTGTTTTATGAAATGGACCTAGGAAAAATACTTTTGTTAAATAATGTATTGAAAACCCCTTTTTGTAACAACGTTATTAAAATGAATTGTTTTGAAAAGTTTTAATTGTTTCGAAATTTTGGTCGTTACAAGTTGGTATCAGAGCCTTGGTTTGAGTGAATTGGAGGAACACTCGTTTGACTCCAGTCTCAAATCGAGGAGGGTTTTAAAAAGAGGAAATAAAATGTTTTTTAAATTTAGTAAAGGAGGACGCGGAGGTACGATCAGCCGGAGCCAGTAAGTAACCCCAAATTACCATTCATGACAATTGTTTTATTGAGCTTTGATAGAACAGCATGCTAGTGTTAGGCTAGGGATCTTCAGGATTTCATGATAATGTTGCCTGTTTTATGATGCCTGCTAGCCTATGGTTTTCCTCTGTTGAGATTTCCAGTGTTCCTCTAGGAGTGAGGATCGAGCGCTTGCTATGAACATTTGTCGCTAGGGTGTTGTGGTAGTACTTCATACAAATATGGGTAGGTGTGGAAG